ACGATAATAACTCGTTACAAGCAATAGTTATCACTGTTCACGCAGTTAAAGGACAGTTTTCAGGAACTTACTAAAATATCGACAGGAGCTCACAAAAATACGTGTGCCTAGTTCAGCGCCATAACCACGCCCCGGCTGCATTACTTTTTAATTGTAATACATTTTCAAAAATTTCAAGCCAACATTTTTCACTGTGTCATTATTTAGTAGAATTTTAGGTGAAAGAATAATTGGATCCATGTTAAGGCTGTAACGTGACAGCATGTGGAACGAGTGAAGCGCTACGAATACTTTCCAGATGCACGGTACAATAAAAACCATAAAATACTAATTAAACACTTTGAATTAACTTCTGTCTTATGACTGATTCATTTCCCGTTAAATATTGACTAATGACTGTTTGTCTCCAATTCATTTCATCTTTATATACAATTGACTGTAATTCTTAAATGCAGCTGAACGTCTTTAGCCTCAGGTTTATTTTTGGACTTACAATCCACTGCTGGTGTACAGAGGCATGTTTTTGATGCTTATACTGTAATCTCCAAATTAAATACACTGTAGAGGATAGTGTCTACTAGAACATGTGCAAAGCTAACAAAATTCACCCCCCATTTTATTAACTACCAGCGTTTGTTGATAATGTTCATATAATTAGTGTTGTTATAGACTGTTATGTGCTGGACCCCCAGCACGGAGTAAACGACGAAACAAGTTCCAAAGAAAGTTCATCTTCATTCACTGCAAACTACAAACCAAAAGTCTGAAAAAGATTTTCTCTTTAATGTTGTTTGTTTCATTGTTGGCCTTTCACGCCGTGTTACGTAAGATATTATGAAGCCAACGATTATTCTTATTATTTATAAAAAACATCTTGTTTTTTATAATCAGCAGTGCTCTCCACTGTGCAAGTATAACAACAACAACAACAACAACAACAACAACAACAACAACAATAATAATAATAATATACCAGTTGCAACTAAATCACTTTCTATCTTATGACTCACCAAATACTTGTTCCAATTCTCTAGAAGGATTATCTTCTAATACCCAATAGTTTTAGTGTTAATAAACCTACATCGATGGTTAAAGTACTAGTAGGTAAATAAGTAAAAAAGAACAGCACTAATCTAAATTTCATTCTCCTCTTCTTCTCTTTGCAGCGCAGACGTTCACTTTGGTGAGCAGTGACACGTGAGCAATGGCGGCCTGGACATCCTCACTGGCGTCCCATTGAGCTCAAATGTAGCCAGCCTGCACAGAGCAATGCTTCCTGCATTTACAACGAAATCTGTTGGCACTAGTGTTACGTGCCAATACAGAGACGGAGACTGAGAGGATGATGATTCAGACTGACCGACACCTAGACGACCAGCCATCATATTCAAAGAGGCAGATATTCTGTATCTTTAGTGCTCATTAGATCTGCCGGCACATACTCTGTCCTTAAGCAAAACACATTCTGTGGAGATGTCAGCATATTCTAGGACTGTAAAATGGTTTAGTTTAAAAATTATGTGGTCTAACTACAAAATGCCTGAAGAAGCCCAGAAATTCATTGCTGTAGTGTTACAATAAAGCTTTGTTCAGCGTTCAAACAGCTGTGCAAAATATGATTAAAAGCAAAGTGCAATTCCAACTCCAAAGTTAAAGTACAAGTTATTAAATGTTTAAAAGATCAATTTTATTTACATAGCACCAAATCACAACAGTCACCTCATGAACTGTATATAGGAAAGAAGGACCGTGTAATTGTGCAAGCACTTGGCGACAGCAGAAAGGAAAAACTCCGGTTTAACAGGAACAAACTTCCAGCAGAACCAGTATCAGGGAGGTGCAGCCATTTGCCATGGCTGGTTGTTGATGTGAGGAAGATGGGATAAAGAGAGCCAGAGATGATAATTATTACTAATGATTAAATGCAGAGAGGTGTATAAACACAGAGTGGAGAAAAAAAACTTCACTCTCCACACTTTCAGAAAGTTTAAGGAGTGTTAAAATATGGGAGCAAACCTGGTCTCAGTTTTTAATGTTTCACGCATCTAATTCAGTATATTGAAAACACTGCATTTCTCAGCTCAGATTTAATGTTTGATATGTTGCCTTTGTACTATTTATTTTAATTGAATAAGGCTTGAATAAGGGCGGCACGGTGGCACGGTGGTTAGCACTGCTGCCGCACAGCAAGAAGGTCCTGAGTTCAATTCCACCATCAGGCCGGGGTCTTTCTGTGTGGAGTTTGCATGTTCTCCCCGTGTTTGCATGGGTTCTCTCCGGGTACTTCGGCTTCCTCCCACCGTCCAAAGACATGCAGCTTGTGGGGATAGGTTAATTGGATAATCCAAATTGCCACTAGGTGTGAATGTGCGTGTGAATGGTTGTCTGTCCCTGTGTGTTGGCCCTGCGACAGACTGGCGACCTGTCCAGGGTGTACCCCGCCTCTCGCCCTATGACAGCTGGGATAGGCTCCAGCGCCCCCTGCGACCCTGAAAAGGAGAAGCGGAAGCGAATGGATGGATGGAAGGCTTTAAATAATCAAACAAGTCAAATTACTTTTTACACAGTGCCCCTGCTTTTTGGGAATGTGTTGTAAACAGGAAGGAGTTAACCAGCGAGCAGGTGACCAAACCACAGATGAAAGGGAAAGGTTTGCCTTTTCCAGGCAGAATGTAGCCACTGCTCTGGTGTGAATACTTCTGAGTAGCCCTGAAAAGCCGAGTGGAGCCTGATGCTGACTGGAAAGGATTTAGACCTCACAGGAGACGGATAGCATCCAGTCACTTTTATGGACCGTGTAATTTAGTTAGCTTCATAAAATTTGGGTGGTTTACTGATAATGGCTTTGTAATCTGTGGCACATGAGCAATCCAAAGCATTTCCATGATCCAAAAGGCCCACATATAGCAGAGTAACAAACCATTCATCTTGTAAATGGAAATTATGACACGTGGCTCCTTCGTAACCTCAGGACAAATGGCCAGTCCTAACATAAAGTGTTTGTAAATGTCTTTGGAAATAGCTGGATAAATCCCTGTAATCTAGACTCAGACAGATGTGGTGTAAGGGGGTGATGGAGAAACCAGTGGACTGTTCTGTTTAGTCTGAGGTTGGCACTAACCCCATCAAGTATCTGAAGGGTGTACTCCTGAGTGAGGGGAAACTAAGCAGATTGGATTGGACATTCAATTTAAGGGTTAAGCTTTTAATTTAATCATCAGTTTTGACATCAAGCACATCCATATATATAAATAGTTTATTTGGCTGAGTTCAGGTGACGTGATATTTTGCAGTTGCTCACTGTATTGTGCCTTTTCGTGTGCATTCGTGTTTCGGAGTGAGAGGCAGTGGAACATGGGACTGAAAGGAAGGAGGACCTGAAGTTGACAGAGATCCCTCCCATTTACCAACCCGGTCATGTTCAAATCTTCGCCTGTGCTTCAACCTTTGCAGTAGCCAGTTGGTCCAGACACTGTCTGAAACATAAACTCAGATTATTCACTTTAACCATTTTTTTAAAGATTGTACCACTTATCTGGTAAAAGTGAAAAGAAAAAAATCTGAAAACTTAATGTTTTCCTTCCATTTGTTATGCTACAGCCATGTGCTGCCACTGAGGCAGCGTGTTGTTTTTCTCCAAAACACCATGTAGGAATATTTCTGGGTAGGCAAGAATCTGAGCTAAACCATTGTACAGTCTCACTTTTATGTGTGACTTCTTTTGGATATAATGTAGCCTCATAAAAATGTGTTGCCAAATACATACACGTGTACAGAGCTTTTGATACCTTACTAAGTGCTAAAGTCATCCTAACATAACTATTAAAATAACAGTTATCTATAGTTCTGGTGGATGGGATATTAGCTGTTCCTGAGTTGCTAGAGATGAGTGTACAGCTGTATATATGAGCATCTGAGAAGCCTCATCACAGATGGCACAGCACCAAACGACACAGACGCAGTGCTTTACTTTAACCCCAAGTGGCCGCTAATCTTTAACCTGCTCGGATCTGGATCCTTTGGTTGATTTCAAACTGGAGGGATCCCACATCTTTTACACCTGCAAAATAACAGATTAGCCTTCATTTTAATATAAGTATATCCATATATTATATGAATATTAAGCTGTTTTTTTACTTTAACAAGGTGCCACATCATGCTGCTGTTTGTTTTTGTTTTTTACAGATTAAGGTATGAAGTTAGGATTGTTTATGTTGAGCAGATGGTTTGAATACCCTGACGTGCTTGCAAAGCCTCACATAATATGCGAATGAGTTGAATTTGAAGTCTACTTTCTCAGTTTGTGTCTCTCTTTGTTTTTCCTCACTTTGGTTTGTATCAGTTAGAAAATACACATAAAAAGGATTTAGTTTGACTCTGTCCTAGGTGGTGGAAACTCAGAAAACGGCACATGTACAAAGCAATAAATAGGTATTTGAAACCCCAGGACATTTAAAAAATTAAGAGATAAATAAACTGTAAAAAAAAAAAATTAAGATAAGATAGAAAACTTTATGTACACAGTGAAAAAAGAAGAGTGAATATTATAAGTATAAGAAATTATTATCATTAATATTAGAGTCAATATGCAAAACATTCATTTCTCATCTGTTTTATATCATGTGAAATAAATGTTGATGTTCTTAAAACATGCTTGTTTCACTTTTCTCTTTGAAGTGATGCTTTTCAGGGCGGATTCTTTCATCACAATTCAATTTTATTTAAATAGCACCAAATCACAACAACAGTGACCTCAAGGTGCTTTGTATCGTAAGGTAGACCCCACAATAATACAAAGAAAAACCCAACAATCATATGACCCCCTATGAGCAGCACTTTGGCGACAGTGGGAAGGAAAAACTCCCTTTTAACGGGAAGAAACCTCCAGCAGAACCAGGCTCAGGGAGGGGTGGGGCCATCTGCTAGATATGATTCAATGCAGAGAGGTCTGTTAACACATAGTGAGTGAGAAAGGTGACTCAGAGATACTCAACCTATTATAAGCAATCATTTCAGCATGTGTACCCTCTAAAGCTTTTGATGACTCCTGGTATCAATCACAGGACTCGTTGAAGGACCACACGCCCTGTGGATGAAATGATTATTCTGTTCCACACCACTGTGTGATCTAAAACTGATGGGCTCAAATGTTTTTCTTCTCTGAGGATCAATGAGTGGTGCTCATCTAGGCTTCTGAAGAGAAAACCACTAATCTAGCAAGCTACTGTTACCTATGGGCAACATGTTTGTAGGCTTCCAGTAAAGTTGCAAATATGTAGATGAAGAGCCGACGTCAGGCCCAGAGTTCCTGTTCGATGTTAGTCACCATTTACAGTCTCACTATGAATATGGAAAAAAGAAGATACGTTTTTCAGATGGTGATTTACTTGGAAGCAGCCTCATCCTACAGTGACCGGTCGTTACTATTTGCCAACAAACTGACACCAAAGAGATTTCCGGCACATATGTATGTAGAAGTGAAACGAAAACGGTAATTAGTGAAACATACTGGCATACATATACTAACTTTTATTATGGATTAGTAACCCACTGTTCTCAAGCCCAGTGTATTGTATTTACCAACCATCGAAAGAAACAGTATTTACTGAAAGCCTGTTTCCATCCACACACAAGCAGAGAAGGGACAGGCCTCCATTTCACCCAAACAATTGATCAATGACGTCAGCACACTTCTCGGCTTCTGTCAGTGGGGTGAGCTGAGATTGAACTCGGGAAAGTGTTGATGCTGACACGAAGGCTCCGAAAAGCTCCTGAGAGCAGCGCTGGCGTGAGGAACGCGGAACAATGTGCCTCTTCAGCACTTTCTGCCTGGACTCCTTTTTCTGTTTGTCGGAACACGTGGAGCTTAGAACCACAATGCCACAGATCATGTGTGCTTGCGAAGATGACTCACCCGCTCTGCAAATACAGACATTTATTCATTTTCAAATAAATCAAGTCAAACTGTGAATATTTTAAAGTCGGTAACCTTTATGGGAGACGTGGTCTCCCATAAAGGTTACGGTCTGGACTGTGGCCGGTCGCTAGTCTATAACTGGACAACCAATCGCAGTCAAGTTCACACCTACAGGAATGACCGAGTAACCACATCTATGGCTGCGGGAGGAAGCTGGAGCATCAGGAAACTGCACGAAAGCCCGGATGATGGATTCGCACTCAGACACGTGTATAAGTTACACGTTAACGTCAAAGCTACTTCTGGGTTATCAGTGTTATTCGTAACTTACGGTTAAACTACTAACACTGTCTTCCTCGCGAGTTAACTGAGCGCTAACGTTACATTTAACGGTGAACGACAAAGTGTGCCATCTTCAAATAGACCAGCTTCGGCATCGCTGACGTCGACGTCATCAAACCCCCTGTTGTGCTTTACGCTACGAGCAAGCGTGAGTGCAACAAGGAGGGCAGCCCGAGGGCAACTTTTCCGGTGAAACGTCACAAAAATAGCCTTTGGTGTTGCTCGAAAATGCGGCAGATAACGACGGAAAGAGCCGAACAAGATTCTCAGCGGACGTCGAAAGAAAACGACACCGGTGAGACGACCGTAACCGGCATGGAAGGACAGGCCGTCCCCGATCCTAAACAGGAACCGGGCGACAACAACGACAGCAGGAAAGCGGAGACCAGCGGAGTGAGTGGCCGCGATGCGGCGGAGGAGCACGGAGACGCCCCGTCCCCCGTCCCCGACCAAGAAACCGCTCCGCGTACCGAAAAGTCGGCTGTTGGCGAAAGGGCCCCGAACCTCGAACTGTGTGAAGCCGCGAAAAGTCCCGCACAGGGCAGCTTGGCAAGTAGCACCGATTTCGCACAAGAGGGCTCCCGGGTGCTGAAACAAGAACAAAGAGAGGGGGGGAACGCGTCCGCCTCACCGCCTGCTGACCACACAAAGACCGCGGACAAGCCTGAGCACGGCATCAAGAGACGGGCCAGCACGGAGCTCACCTCGTCGGACGGAGAGCCGCTCAGCCGGATGGATTCAGAAGACAGGTTTGTTGGACTGAGCGGTGGCCTTATCTTACAGCACCATGCCAAGTTCACAGCTTTGAAGCAGTTTGTTTACAGGTGAAAAATGTTCGCTTCCGCGGGGTCATGTAGTTCTTGAACGTCTCTATAGGACACGCTGGTCTGTATTTAGTCCACTGTAGCGTGTAGTGTGGGGGGAGTGTTGGCTCACAGCAATGCTCGTTACACAAATATGATGTAGTCTCATGCTAATACTAAAGTACAGCTGACCTACATGTCTTTGTTCACCCCCCGGGGGGGGGACCATACCCTCACACGTGCCATCTACCTATGTGATCAATAAACCGGGATAAATTAGCCAAATAGGAGCAGATGTTTCATGAAGGTCACAGTCTGGGGTCGTTCTCGGTTGATAAGTCTTCTTTCTTTCTTGGATTTGTGAAATAAGCGTTTTATAAGCAGATGGACAGAAAACTTGCACACACTGGTTGTTGCAGATTTTTGGCATACAAGGATGCTTTCATGGAAACTTCTTGCAGCTGTTTTGTAAAAGCCTTCCAGAAGTAGTAACTGAGTATGGATGTATAACCAAGAGGCAGCTGCAGACAGTCGTTGTTTGTCGTGTAGGATTTGTGAGTCATTTTCTACATGTGGGTTTTTGTTGTTCTTTGTTAGTTGGGTTCTTGCTAATCATACATCCATTCTCTGTAAACTATACAGTTTCTTCCTTGTTGTGTCGAAAATATGATGACCACAACTGTAAAGCATGGAGAGTGAGGACCTTTTATAATGCTGAACTTTTTGGATGTGTAGGCTCTCACCACAAACGATTGTTGATAGCATGCTGGGGAACTTGAGTGTCGCTAGCTCCTAAAAATAAGATGCCCACTCTGTTTGCATGAATCAGCCTCCCTCCCAACAACACTCTCAATCAGCTTCTCTCTGCATCGTGTTGTTTTACTTTGGAACATGTCATTTCCTGTCAGCTCGGTTCTCTTCAGTTTTTATAAAGGCAAAAACACAGATGACATCAGGTCTGAAAGTGGGACTGCCAACCGCTCTGTGGTTAGTGTTAGCAGTGAAACGTATGGAGGCAGTAAGAGACAGGTCTGCAGGGTTAGCCCGGGGTAAACACGTCTCACGTGAAGTCTTTATTTGTGTGACACATTTTGACTAAAGTGGAAAAATAGACACCACCAACAGTTTTACACCAGCGGGTCCAATCAGTGGACAACACTCACGCAAAGAAGATGATGTAATTCATAATTTCCAAAAAACAAAACCCCACTGGCTGCTTTATGATGAAGCCCAGGTTATAGTGGTTGGTTTTACTGGTTAACTGAAGTTACTCTGTCAGCTGATCATCCACCAAACCGAGGTGACTGGTTTCCATCTATCTTTGTCATGAGGGTCGAGGTTTAAAGAGCTTCGGCAGTTTGAGTTTAGACCTCGGTCTAAACTTTGTTTTATCAAATACTCGCTGAAAAGTCTACAGTTGTAAAATGGAGTTATCAGCAGGCTGATGTTATCTGACGGTATTAGCTATGAGTTTCAGCATTTCTAACAGCTGATCAATGGAACTGAAAAACTGAAGAAATGTCAGACAAACCTGTTTGTTTCGCTGGAATAAAAAAGCTCCCTGTAGAGGTTTTACACGTCACGCCGGTGTTGCTCGATCTGTCGGCCACACTGCCCGTGATAATCACTCATACGTACTTTCACATGGAAATGATCACTGTTTTCTTCTTCCCCTCACAGTGCTGATATTCCGCTGCACATTGTTGTCCAACAATAATCAACGACAGACGTTTTTTCCCCATTTTCTACTTTCTGAAATAGGAAAAATGATCAGTTACGGGCATCAAATCAATACTGTAATTATTAGAAGTTACCGTGGTTTTCAAACATTCAGGTATCTGTTTCAAAGAAGATGTGACCATTTGAGCATTTTACATTTATCATCTTCATCTGCCTCCTCCAGCACTGCTCCCTCCGTCTCCTCTTCATCCTCTTCCTCCTCACCTAAAACCTCACTCCTGAGCTCTAGTTTGGCTTCTAACAAAGGAAATTCTACATGAACGTATTTAATCTCGATATTGTTGTGATTGGTTATTTTCAGCAGACGTGCGACCCTCCCGTCTCTGGGAAGCTGACAAGAGAAGGCTAAACAACAACATAACGATCCAAGCTAACACACGTCTTAAACGTTTAAGCTCATTTCTCTCTGATCAACAGTTTGATTTAAGTTTATTTGCTATGTGCGAGTCAGCCCACGTGAATATCAGCGAACAGCAGCGCCTGCTGACACAAAACCCCAAACGTCCTCACCGGTGTTAATCAGAAGCTACGCCGACTCAGTGACGGAGCGTAATAAAAATCAGGTGCTGAGCAGTGACCGTGGTCCTCCACGGACTTACAGTCACATCCTGACACAAAGTGCTGATGAGCATTCAAACTTTTAGGCTTCACGTCTCGTCCAGTGTCATTTGAGGGGTTGTTGATAACATACTGATATAAATTGTGTGCCGTGAAGTCGGGAGAAGGATGGCGTTACACTTCACAGCATCAGTAAGCACACTCGGAGGCCCAGTTAATCCACAAGTCATATTCATAGATCTTAGGGGTATTTACTTTGGCAGTTATTCTGAAGCATTATCCAAGTTATCTTTCATTTCTGCGATCAGCACGAAGGAAAACTGCTTTGTAAAATCATTTAAATGTAGTAAAACTGAGGAACTTTCCTCTAACATGACACAGGCAGGATCACCATCTCAGCCAGTGTTGAATCCCCCGCAGGCATCCTGCCATGGCTCTGTTTCTGTATTGATGATGATCTGTGGTTACCTGTGAATTTTTAAGACTTGCGGTCTTCCTCACTTGAAGTAGTCCTTGTGAGAGCCAGGCCGTGCTCCAGTTAGCCAGTTTTTCACTGCACAGTGTGTCTTTATACTGTTTGAGGTCGTGACCTGTGACAGAAAGTAGCAACCAGACCCGTACACGATCAACTGTCACAAAAACAGCTGCCTGAAGGCGCTCAGTCATGAACCTCGTGGACTGGAGCCTGAACAGAGATTGAAAATGTGACGTCATTCAGGGGTAAAACTGCAAAGGATTCTGGGAACTCGTGGCAAGAGGTACTAGCGCA